TGGCCCTCCTCGCTGTGTGTGGGGTTTGACCCTATCCCTGGCCCTCCTGACAGTGTGTGGGGCTTGAGCCCACCTCTGGCCCTCCTCGCTGTGTGCGGGGCATGTCCTCCATGCCTTTCCTGTCTACTCTGGTTTCCTCCCTGATCCATGTGACTTGATTGGACAGGGGTCTCTCTGTGGCAGTCAGTTTGTGCTTAGCGATTGACTGGCATCCTGTCCAGGGCGTTCCTTGCATCATGCCCGTTGCCTTTGGCTCTGGGCTCATTGCAGCCCTGCGCTGGATGGATGGATGAAATGATTTCTTTTTGACATCTTTAATGATGATGTTTCTGTCAATCTGTTAACCTGATCATTGTCTGAAGACAGCATGGCATGCTCAATGCTCATTTCAGTATTTCATTCACTCTTTATGGTTGTTATTTACTTTTATTGTCATCATTAAAAATGTAAAATCTAGCCATGTTTCAAAATTGTAATGTTTTAATGAAGTACCATTTAGTGTTTTCTTTGTAAATGTAAATGTCACAAAGCGTTAATGAGGTATATGTGATTTATCTAAATGGAATTTAAAAAGGCACGCTGGCATGGCCATGTATTAACACAGTCCCCTGTGTTGTCAAGCCCTAATTTCATTAGCACAGACAGCAGCTTCATTAGCTTCCCTCTGCACTCTGGCCGTGGGTGAAATGAGCCAATCGGGGCTTCTGTTAGGATGACAATGACAGAGCTTTCAGTGATTTCGGTACCTGCTCAGGCCACACGGTAGTAGACCCAGCCACTCACTACACCTTATAGCTGAAGTCAGTTTTACAAAAAAAAAAGTTATTTGTTTTGATTTGTTGTTTTGCATAAAGCTTTGACTGTGGGAGGGAGGCAGGTGTATACTGCCCCCTACTGTTCTTTTGGTCACCCCCAGTCGCACCTGTGTGCTGTTATCTCCTAAAGAGCTTATCCAAGGCAACAATCAGCAGACTGCCTGCAAACCAACTACGTCTCTCTCTCTCTCTCTCTCTACATGTGCAGAACCTCTGATTTGAGGTTATTGGCAGGTTATTACACTGATATCCCCACATTCACTTCATAGTACTTTTGGAACAATAACAGTGCCCCAGTCTTTAAAGTAAAAAGTTATTTTTTTTAATTTCCCAACTGAAATATTGCAGAAGTATTTTAACTATCTAACATTTATGCAGAAACCAAGGTAAATCTGCCGTAAAAAAGGCTGCAGAGTTGAGATACCCTTTTTAAGTACGTAAATAATACTAAAATCAACAAAGAATACAATATGGTACCTCAGTACTCAAACTCATTAGAACTCGAATTTC